ACTGGCCATGCCTCAAAGATGGAGTCCTCAAAGCAGTTCTGAATGAAGAAGGCCTCACCGCTGCTCCAACTCCATGTTTGAGGCATCCTCAGCTCCGCAGAAAAGCATGTTAGCATCCGGCTCGAAGGACCAAAATATGTGAATAACTAGTCACATTTCAACAACATAATCTCTTTAATACATGTTGTCAGCCGCTGGTTCAAAACTACAGGTTATCTGGACATCAGCACAAACAGACAAGTTACAGACTACAGTCTAGTCTGGGTTTCTGCTGGATGGAAAGCAGCAGAGTGACCAAGAAATGGTCCAAGAACTCTCGTCTTATACCATGATAATTTGAAACACATGTGACCATATGTCCCAGTGTTGTTTGAGGTTTCTGCACATAGGTTTGTTCTTTATGAAGCGGGCTGTTGGACTAATAAGGGAGTTCTTTAGAGGAGGAGATTGATGCCAGACCAGTAACAGCAGCCTCGAGATTTCTTCCTTATCTCAAGGAAGGAAGAAATCTATAGGTTGGAAGTGTGAATCCCTTTTAAGGTGTGGAATGGAGAGATGCGGAGGGGGAAACCAGACAAAGGCCAGACCTGATGCAGAGTCCAGACCGGGACCAGGAACTGGCTGATACGACACGCCCCTTCTGCACATTATTACTTGATGATTTTGCCTGATGTTTTAGTTCAGTCAGATAGGGTGAGCCCATAGGGAAAGAGAGCAGGCATAGTTAGGGTAGAAGCTTTTTAAATTTCTGTATCTGATTGTAAAGATAAATTAAATACAGATGTTTAACTTGGAAATCTTCGTCTTGTTTTCTGCATCAAATTTTGACACACGCCCAAAGGTTTTTTTAGACAATAACGGAGACCGGGAGATTAGCAGAAGTCGCCTTTATTTGGGCCTCGTCTGGTCCTCCTGGTTCTGCGCAGTGGACGAGCTCCCATGATGCATTGCGCAAAATATGCGTGTGTGACTCTCACGCACCGAGGGGCTCGGCTGCGCTTTGACCAATCAGAGCTGCTAATCAGAGCAGCAGCAAAGAGGAGTCGGAGCGGGAAGGAAAAGAGCAGAGTTTGCGGCAGTAAAGTGTGGATTTAAAGAAAACCAAAGGATTTAAGAAGAAAAAAAGTTCAGGATGACAAGGGACACTAAAATCCCAGTGGGGGAGGGTCCCAGCTCAAAAGGGGCCAAAATGACGTGCGCTGACATGCTTGCAATACCACCCCGGGTCGTTGGGGGTGGACCCAGAAGAAGAATTAGCCAATGCTAACATATAGCATTGGCAGACCTCTCAAAAACGTCTTTACAGGATGGACCAAAAGTTGGCTCTTGGCCCAAAGCTCCGTTCCACATGTGTGTCAATGCTGAGGGGGGGTGGAATTTTTTGGTCCACTCTAGTTTACTCGCGGTGAATTTTTGAAGTCTCTCGTTCAAATGAATGGAGTTGCGCCGACTGACGCATGCGCAGATGCGTTTCTTCACAATTTTTCTCTTGGGCGGGACCACTCGCGGCCATTTTGGATTGCTCCAGTAGAGCACATTTTTTGGCCCATTAGTTAGAACGGCGGAGATAGGCGTGACTCTGTCCGTTAATATATACAGTCTATGTAAAATCCCCACAAAATCCTCCTTTAGGAAAGCTGTAGGTTCTCTGTCAGCTGAGGTTGAGCTGTTTTAATTTAAATTGAGTTCTATGGTACTTTTTTCTGGGTAGCCCAAGTGAATTTAGTTTGCAGAACCACGGGCGCCCCCTGTGCCCATGGGTGGGACAGCTGTAAGCTAGTAATACCCTATCCAGTTATTATTATAGATCCATGAGACGACACCATACCTTTTTGTGGACCGCAAATGGTCTGCGGGCCGCATGTTTGAGACCATGATTCAAAACGGTGTTGCTGAACCAATCAGACAACAAGCTGCTGGACTGGAGAGGATCCCAGACTTAAAAACCACCTGCTCAGAGTGAATGTTGAAGTAAAAGAAAAAAGACGTCATTCAGGGGGCGTTATGCCGAGGGGAGGGGCCACAGAAGGCTTTCTGACATAATATGATACTACATTCTGAAGCAGTACAGTACAGATACAGCACAGTGTGGCCCTCCCCGAAACCAAACCGTCATGAGCAATGACGTCATAGAAAGTAGCATGTTTGCCTGTGCGCGTGCACCGTGCAGTCATATCGGCACGTGGTCGCGGGTGAAATCCCCCAAGTGCGCATGCAAAACAGGGCTCACTACTGCTCCTGGTGCGTGTGCTGGTGCGTGTGCTGGTGCGGCTGTAGCACTGAAGGAGTCTGCCCCACATCACACAGCGCTTTGGGATCCAGCCTTCTGCCTTTCCCGCCCCGTGCGCATGTGTGTGTTTGTGTACGTGTGTGTATGGTGTATGTGTGTTTGCGTGCGTGTGTGTGTGTGCACGCTGGGAGGACTGGCCAGAGCAGAGCAGAGCAGAGCAGAGCAGTTCCGCCTTCCGTTAGCGCTTGGGACGAGCAGAGCTAACGACCTGTCATGGAGGTACGTGTGCGTGTGTGCGCGTCTGTGTGTGTGTTTGCGTTTGTAGGTTTGTGTGCGTGTGTCCTTTTCGAGCCAAACTTTGCGCGCACGCACTTAAATAAAACACAACACTGGAGCAAGCTACGATAGACCGAGATTCGCAACTTTCCCGTATGTACGTATGTGTGCGTGCGCACCCTTGCCGTGGACGCGCGGACATGTGCGTGTGCGTGCGCATGTATATGCGTAGTGCGCTCTGCCACGCGCAGTTATGTCATGTGCGGAATGTTGTTATGGGCGGAGGGTGACGTAGTGCGTGACGTGTGGCAGCGGTGGAGTTTATACAGAGGCGTTCTGATGTACGTTAGGGCTAGTCTCCGTGTGGTCTCCCTGGTCTCTCTCTTGTCTCTCACTGGTCTCTCTAGTCTCTCACTGGTCTCTCTAGTCTCTCACCGTTCTCTGTAGTCTCTCATTGATTTCAATCTGGTCCCTCTCTCTCTGGTGTCTCTGGTCTCTCTCTGGTCTGCAGCTGTAAAGTGCCAAACTATGGTTGTGTCCTTAGGCAAGACACTTCATCCATATTAGAATGAGACGTGTGTGCGTGCACGTGTAAGAGACTCGCTTCAGTCAGTGTGACCTGAGGCAGCTGTGGCTATCACCACTGTGTTTGGAGTGAAAGAAAAATGATGTGAAGAGACTTTGAGAGTCTTGAAAAGTGCTGTTAAAACCTGATGCATTTTTATTATTATTGTTACTTTGTCATTTCATGTTTTAGAAGTACAAAATGTATATTTTCACGACCAAGGGTTACAACCCTCGGCCTCCCCCTGTCATCTGCAGCCACTGCCATGGGATTTAAAGAACTCCACTGGAGAAATGACTAAAGCTACACCAATACAGAGAGTGTTGTCATAGTGATGTCATAGTGGTACAATGAAAACACACTATTGCAGAACTGAGACAGAGGCTTTTAGACTGATGGAGGTGTTTCATTTCTTCAGCAGGTCACTCAGAATCTCGCTCCCTCCACCACAATGCAGGCAGAAAACAGTTCATCTTTAAAGCTGTGGTACTTCATTTACAAACTACAAAACGTCTCCAGTTCCTATCACTAGTTTTCACTGTGTTTCTGTCAAAGGCTTAGCGTTAAGTTAGCTTAGCCTTATGCATGAGTAAACTCCATAGACTGTATATATTAACGGACAGAGTCACGCCTATCTCCGGCGTTCTAACTAATGGGCCAAAAAATGTGCTTTACTGGAGCGATCCAAAATGGCCGCGAGTGGTCCCGCCCACAAGAAAATTGTGAAAAAGCTCCATTCATTTGAACGAGAGACTTCAAAAATTCACAGCAAGTAAACTAGACTGGTCCAAACAAATTCACCTCCCTCAGCATTGACACACATGTGGAACGGAGCTTTGGGCCAAGAGCCAGCTTCCATCCTGTAAAGACGTTTTCGAGAGGTCTGCCAATGCTATATGTTAGCATTGGCTAATTCTACTTCTGGGTCAACCCCCATCGGCCCGGTTTGGTAATGCAAGCATGTCAGCGCTCGTCATTTTGGCCACTTTTGAGCCGAAACCTGCCCCCATTGGTAATATCTGGTCCATGATCATTTCCTACATGTACGTCTGGGTCTGATCCTAGTGGCTGCAATTTCCTCGGTTTAATCTCCTCCGACCAATCAGAGAGCGGGGGAGGCGGGTGTTGTAGGTCGGTGATTGTGACGTCACGAGTTTGCGCTGAATTTGCTGCTTGTAGCGGAGAATACGATAGTAAAGTAATCTGTTCTGGTTTGGCTCCAAATATCAAGAAATTGAAGCTGGAGCAAGAGAAATGTTTAGCAAATATGATTGCTGCAAAGATGTTGTGGCTCTACTCCCCTCGGGCTCCGTTAGTGGCAAAGAAGATGGCTAAAGCTAGGCTAAATGCTAAAGCTAGGCTAAATGCTGAATGCCTCACTCACTCGGGCGCATTACATACGCCACAGTACGCTCAGATCTAATCGTTTTAATCTGCAAAAGGAAATAACCCCTCCCACCTGCTAACAGAGCTCAATGGAGAAAATCTAGACCTTAGTACCAAATGAAATGTATACAGTGGTGTGGTAAGACCAGGCTAGCATTAGGAATTCAATGCATTGATGCAATATATTTGATTTGTTCTTCTTTGCAGTGACTCCTGACCGGAAGCATAATGAAGCGGCACCGGACAAAGACGACCATCAATAGGAAATCCATCACATGACCCAGAACACATATGACCTAGAACACGTATGACCCAGAACACGTATGACCCAGAACACGTATGACCCAGAACACGTATGACCCAGAACACATCGCCACATTAACTTTGGGATCGTCCGTGTGATAAATATGCAAAATGGAGAAGGACTTCACACAGTAGCCTCCCTTGTCTCCACTCTCTTTGTTTTGCACTCACCGCTTTGACCTTAAGACGTAAACCTGTGGACTCTTCCCGTCTTCAGTCTGAGCTACCAGGACTACAAACATGGCCGCCACAGCCAGGAGACACCGGGTCCGCGACTTTAACCACTTCATCACGTGCTACCTGTGCCGCGGCTACCTGATCAAGCCCACCACAGTCACCGAGTGCCTGCACACCTGTGAGAGCCCGCTGCTACAAACCTAACATTTAATACCATTAATATTATACCATGTGAGCTGGTTATTTAGTATTGTTGGGTTGGGTCAGATCTGTTCATTAAGAACCATGTAGATTTGTCCATAAGAACCATGTAGATCTGTCCATAAGAACCATGTAGATCCATCCATAAGAACCATGTAGATCCTTACATAAGAACCATGTAGAACTGTCATTAAGAACCATGTAGATTTGTCCATAAGAACCATGTAGATTTGTCCATAAGAACCATGTAGATCTGTCATTAAGAACCATGTAGATTTGTCCATAAGAACCATGTAGATTTGTCCATAAGAACCATGTAGATCTGTCATTAAGAACCATGTAGATGCATCCACAAGAACCATGTAGATTTGTCCATAAGAACCATGTAGATCTGTCATTAAGAACCATGTAGATGCATCCACAAGAACCATGTAGATTTGTCCATAAGAACCATGTAGATCTGTCATTAAGAACCATGTAGATGCATCCACAAGAACCATGTAGATTTGTCCATAAGAACCATGTAGATCTGTCATTAAGAACCATGTAGATGCATCCACAAGAACCATGTAGATCCGTCCAAAAGAACCATGTAGATCTATCCATAAGAACCATGTAGATCTGTCAATAAGAACCATGTAGCTCTGTAAATAAGAACCATGTAGAACTGTCAATAAGAACCATGTAGAACTGTCATTAAGAACCATGTAGATTTATCCATAAGAACCATTTAGATCTGTCAATAAGAACCGTGTAGAACTGTCATTAAGAACCATGTAGATCTATCCATAAGAACCACGTAGATCTATCAATAAGATCCATGTAGATCTGTCATTAAGAACCATGTAGATGCATCCACAAAAACCATGTAGATCTGTCCAAAAGAACCATGTAGATCCATCCATAAGAACCATGTAGATCCTTACATAAGAACCATGTAGATCTGTCAATAAGAACCATGTAGATCCGTCAATAAGAACCATGTAGAACTGTCAATAAGAACCATGTAGAACTGTCATTAAGAACCATGTAGATCTGTCCATGAGAACCATGTAGATCCATCCAAAAGAACCATGTAGAACTGCCCTTAACCATGTAGATGCATCCACAAGAACCATGTAGAACTGTCATTAAGAACCATGTAGATTTGTCCAAAAGAACCATGTTGATCTGTCAATAAGAACCATGTAGATGCATCCACAAGAACCATGTAGATTTGTCCATAAGAACCATGTTGATCTGTCAATAAGAACCATGTAGATGCATCCACAAGAACCATGTAGATCTGTCCATAAGAACCATGTAGATCCGTCCAAAAGAACCATAAGAACCATGTAGATCCTTACATAAGAACCATGTAGATCCGTCCAAAAGAACCATGTAGATCCTTACATAAGAACCATGTAGATCTGTCAATAAGAACCATGTAGAACTGTCAATAAGAACCATGTAGAACAGTCATTAAGAACTATGTAGATCTGTCCATAAGAACCATGTAGATCCATCCAAAAGAACCATGTAGAACTGTCCTTAAGAACCATGTAGATGCATCCACAAGAACCATGTAGAACTGTCCATAAGAACCATGTATATCCATCCATAAGAACCATGTAGATCTGTCAATAAGAACCATTTAGAACTGTCATTAAGAACCATGTAGATCTGTCCATAAGAACCATGTAGATCCTTACATAAGAACCATGGAGATCTGTCAATAAGAACCATGTAGAACTGTCATTAAGAACCATGTGGATCTGTCCATAAGAACCATGTAGATCCATCCAAAAGAACCATGTAGATGCATCCACAAAAACCATGTAGAACTGACCATAAGAACCATGTAGATCCGTCCATAAGAACCATGTAGATCCATCCAAAAGAACCATGTAGATCTGTCCATAAGAGCCATGTAGATCCATCCAAAAGAACCATGTAGATCCATCCATAAGAACCATGTAGATCCATCCAAAAGAACCATGTAGATCCATCCATAAGAACCATGTAGATCTGTCCATAAGAACCATGTAGATCCATCCATGAGAACCATGTAGATCCCTACATAAGAACCATGTAGATCCTTACATAAGAACCATGTAGAGCCATCCATAAGAACCATGTAGATCTGTCATTAAGAACATGTAGGGATGTACAGATAACACATTATTGCCTCTGATCCTGATCTGATTATTCAACTTAAATTGCGTTCCGATCTCGAGTCCCGATCCAATGCTTTTGGTCATCGGTATTGTACATTATTAAACCAAAAGACATTGATATCTAAGGCAGGGACCGTTGTGATGAAAAATCAAAGTCAAGTTTTTCAGCCATTTTATTCTTTCAGGAAAAAATAAGAAATCAATCTCTCGGTCGGGACAGTAACAAAGCACCAAATATATAGGTATAGCTAAACCGTGCTAAACACAGTCTGCTGTATGGGACCATATGGGACCCCCGCAACTGACGAGCTGCAATACGACTTTGAACCATAAGTAAACACCAGTAAAGCTGAGTAAAGGGACACCCTCTGAACTCCCAAAATCTGTAGTAAAACCTTTAGCTGAACATTCCCTTTGGAAGATTTGCTGTGTTTAAGATCTAAACAACTTATTGATTGTAATCAGACTTTATTTTTCTATAAATCCACACTTTTGTGCAAAAAACTCTGCTCGACGCTCTGATTGGTCAGAACGCTCAGGTGTCCCTCTGGTCCTACTGATGTTGAACTACTGCACAGACCAGAGAACCAGAACTGCCCATTGGTTCATTGGCTCATGAACCATAGGGCACAGGACACTGATCTGAATGAGCAGACATCTTGGAGAGACCAGGAGCAGACATCTTGGAGAGACCAGGGGCAGACATCTGGGAGAGACCAGGAGCAGACATCTTGGAGAGACCAGGGGCAGACATCTTGGTAGAGACCAGGGGAAGACATCTTGGAGAGACCAGGGGCAGACATCTTGGAGAGACCAGGAGCAGACATCTTGGAGAGACCAGGAGCAGACATCTTGGAGAGACCAGGGGCAGATATCTTGGAGAGACCAGGAGCAGACATCTTGGTAGAGACCAGGGGCAGACATCTTGGAGAGACCAGGGGCAGACATCTTGGAGAGACCAGGAGCAGACATCTTGGAGAGACCAGGGGCAGATATCTTGGAGAGACCAGGAGCAGACATCTTGGTAGAGACCAGGGGCAGACATATTCGTAGAGACCAGGAGCAGACATCTTGGAGAGACATGGGCATCTCGAGACCTGTGGCTTGCAAATAGTGACTCACATGGCTTCCTCTATATAGTATTCAAAACAAAACATGTTTTTTTCGACTCTGACAAAGACAGTTGTTTTTTTGTTCTTGAATAGTGTTATTCTAAAGGTTTAGGGCTTTGTTGTGTTGCAGTCTGCAAGAGCTGTATCGTTCAACACTTTGAGGAGTGTAACGACTGTCCTGAGTGTGGCATCCAGGTGCACGAGACCAACCCCCTGGAGATGCTGAGGTGAGAGTCCGACAAACACTTCCTATTACCTGCTGTTGCCGTGGCAATGTGTCCCATCTCCTGGAAATGTGCCAAACAGATTTAGAGTTAGCTTTAACATGATGTGGTTGGGGGTCCCAGTGGTTCTTCTCCCACTGAAGTCTGCTGTCAATGTGTCCCTGGGCAAGACACTTGCAAGACCCCCACCTGCAGGAGGATCAGAGAGGACCCCCACCTGCAGGAAGATCAGAGAGGACCCCCACCTGCAGGAGGATCAGAGAGGACCTCCACCTGCTGAAGGATCAGAGAGGACCCCCACCTCCAGGAGGATCAGAGAGGACCTCCACCTGCTGAAGGATCAGAGAGGACCCCCACCTGCAGGAGGATCAGAGAGGACCCCCACCTCCAGGAGGATCAGAAAGGACCTCCACCTGCAGGAGGATCAGAGAGGACCCCCACTTGCAGGAGGATCAGAGAGGACCTCCACCTGCAGGAGGATCAGAGAGGACCCCCACCTGCAGGAGGATCAGAGAGGACCTCCACCTGCAGGAGGATCAGAGAGGACCCCCACCTGCAGGAGGATCAGAGAGGACCTCCACCTGCTGAAGGATCAGAGAGGACCCCCACCTGCAGGAGGATCAGAGAGGACCTCCACCTGCAGGAGGATGATTGTTATATTTATAGACATTCGTAAACACATAAACTACATTGTTGTTTGCAGAGAGAGCGAGATTTATAATGAGGTATGACAGACCATTATCAGAGTCTCTGTGTTTAGGTCACATGTCTCTCAGGTCACATGTCTCTGTGTTCAGGTCACATGTCTCTGTGTTCAGGTCACATGTCTCTGTGTTCAGGTCACATGTCTCTGTACTCAGGTCACATGTCTCTGTGTTCAGGTCACATGTCTCTGTGTTCAGGTCACATGTATCTGTACTCAGGTCACATGTCTCTGTGTTCAGGTCACATGTCTCTGCACTCAGGTCACATGTCTCTGTGCTCAGGTCACATGTCTCTGCACTCAGGTCACATGTCTCTGTACTCAGGTCACATGTCTCTGTGTTCAGGTCACATGTCTCTGTACTCAGGTTGCATGTCTCTGTGTTCAGGTCACATGTCTCTGTACTCAGGTCACATGTCTCTGTGTTCAGGTCACATGTCTCTGTACTCAGGTCACATGTCTCTGTGTTCAGGTCACATGTCTCTGTGTTCAGGTCACATGTCTCTGTACTCAGGTCACATGTCTCTGTGTTCAGGTCACATGTCTCTGTACTCAGGTCACATGTCTCTGTGTTCAGGTCACATGTCTCTGTACTCAGGTCACATGTCTCTGTACTCAGGTCACATGTCTCTGTACTCAGGTCACATGTCTCTGTACTCAGGTCACATGTCTCTGTACTCTGGTCACATGTCTCTGTGTTCAGGTCACATGTCTCTGTACTCAGGTCACATGTCTCTGTACTCAGGTCACATGTCTCTGTACTCAGGTCACATGTCTCTGTGTTCAGGTCACATGTCTCTGTGTTCAGGTCACATGTCTCTGTGTTCAGGTCACATGTCTCTGTACTCAGGTCACATGTCTCTGTACTCAGGTCACATGTCTCTGTACTCAGGTCACATGTCTCTGTTGTTCAGGTCACATGTTTCTCGTTCAGGTCACATGTCTCTGTCTCAGGTCCATGTCTCTGTGTTCAGGTCACACATGTCTCTGTACTCAGGTCACATGTCTCTGTGTTCAGGTCACATGTCTCTGTACTCAGGTCACATGTCTCTGTGTTCAGGTCACATGTCTCTGTACTCTGGTCACATGTCTCTGTACTCAGGTCACATGTCTCTGTTCAGGTCGCATGTCTCTGTGTTCAGGTCACATGTCTCTGTACTCAGGTCACATGTCTCTGTGTTCAGGTCACATGTCTCTGTACTCAGGTCACATGTCTCTGTACTCAGGTCACATGTCTCTGTGTTCAGGTTGGACAACACTCTGGAGGAGATCATCTTTAAGCTGGTCCCAGGCCTCAGAGAGAGTAAGTGTTCAGATGAAGAGAGCCACCTGCGACTGAGGAGAACCTCCCCGTACCAACCGTCTCCTGAGGGAGGTTCTGGTCCTGACTGTTGCCTCCTGAGGGAGGTTCTGGTCCTGACTGTTGGTTCCTGAGGGAGATTCTGGTCCTATTTTTAAGTAAATATTTCATTGAGAAAATTGAAAAGCTTCGAAGTGATATGGGTCAGGGTAACGACACAAAAGTGGAAGAATTGATATCGAATAAAATAATGGCAGGTAAAATGTGTAAATTTAAATTTGTTGAAGTTACTGTGAATAAAGTAGAAACATTATTATATGAATGCAAGGATAAACCATCTGGTGTGGACAACATTGAAGCAATATTACTGAAAATGGTAGCAAATCTAATTGCTCTGCCAATTATTCACATTTTAAAATTGAGTTTTGGTTTAAGTATCTATCCACAGGCCTGGAAAGCTGCAAAGATAATACCATTACCAAAGAGCTCTGCTGCACCTTTTTGTGGGCCTAAAGCCGCGTTCAGACCGGATCATGCGTTGCGTCTGCTTTCAATGCAAAGTCTATGGTGACGCGCGTTTCAAAACGCTTCAAAACGCATGGACCACTGCACGGACGCACGGACCGCGCAGTAGAGACACACGGACTGCGCGGGAAAGTCAAAGGGGAGGAGCACGAGCGGAAAATCGACACCCACAGGAGATAAACTTTGCTCAACCTTTCCTCGGGACGTTTGTGCAGCGACCAATCAGAGAGCCGCAAAGTGGTGATAAATATTATTGAGAACAAAATTCCAAATGTGCTTTAATAAGAGCTCGGTTTTAGTTCTGGTGAGCACAACTATGAACTATGTTACCCAAAGTAAAAACAAATGATGGAAAAGCGACTGTAATGTACAGGTCAATGTTTGCCTGGAATCATCCCGAATGACATTGTTAATGCAAACAGTAAATACCCCTTTAAAATCCTTTTAAAAAGACATCTACTGATAAATTAGTATAAACATGTGATATCACAACTGTGCTGTAATCTCTCTAACCACCATTGACAATTGAAATTGGGTCTGGGTCGTGTGTGTGTGTGTCTGTGTGTGTGTGTGTGTGTGTGATCTTTTGTCGTCATCTGTATAATTTTTGTTTTTATTTTAGTATAATTATTGTCATGTGTTTTTGTTATTGCATCTTGCTTGACTCCAGGAAGAATAGCTGTGTTGAACAGCTAATGGAGATCAATACTGTTGTCTGTGCAGAGGAGGAGCAGCAGGAGCTGGACTTCTGGAACAAACACCGACCTCTGGAGGAAGGACCAGGTCCCTGCACTGCCCCTTATACACACACACACATATATATATTCATATATATACAAATACACACACACACACACACACACACACACACACACACACACACACACACACACACACACACACACACACACACACACACACACACACACACACACACACACACACACACACACACACACACACACACACACACACACACACACACACACACACACACACACACACACACACACACACACACACACACACTTTTTTGTCATGAATCAACAACAAGTGGGACACAATCGTGAAGTGGAGTGACATTTATTGGATAATTTATACTTTTTTAACAAATAAAAAACTGAAAAGTGGGGCGTGTAATATTATTCGGCCCCTTTACTTTCAGTGCAGCAAACTCACTCCAGAAGTTCAGTGAGGATCTTTGAATGATCCAATGTCCTAAATGACTGATGATGATAAATAGAATGCACCTGTGTGTAATCAAGTCTCCGTATAAATGCACCTGCTCTTTGATAGTCTCAGGGTTCTGTTTAAAGCGCAGAGAGAACCATGAAGACAAAGGAACACACCAGGCAGGTCCGAGATACTGTTGGGGAGAAGTTTAAAGCCGGATTTGGATACAAAAAGATTTCCCAAGCTTTAAACATCTCAAGGAGCACTGTGCAAGCAATTATATTGAAATGGAAGGAGTATCAGACCACTGCAAATCTACCAAGACCCGGCCGTCCCTCCAAACTTTCATCTCAAACAAGGAGACGACTGATCAGAGATGCAGTCCAGAGGCCCATGATCACTCTGGATGAACTGCAGATAACTACAGCTGAGGTGGGAGAGTCTGTCCATAGGACAACAATCAGTCGTGCACTGCACAAATCTGGCCTTTATGGAAGAGTGACAAGAAGAAAGCCATTTCTCAAAGATATCCATAAAAAGTCTCGTTTAAAGTTTGCCACAAGCCACCTGGGAGACACACCAAACATGTGGAAGAAGGTGCTCTGCTCAGATGAAACCAAAATTAAACTTTTTGGCCACAATGCAAAACGATATGTTTGGCGTAAAAGCAACACAGCTCATCACCCTGAACACACCATCCCCACTGTCAAACATGGTGGTGGCAGCATCATGCTTTGGGCCTGCTTTTCTTCAGCAGGGACAGGGAAGATGGCTAAAATTGATGGGAAGATAGATGGAGCCAAATACAGAACCATTCTGGAAGAAAACCTGTTGGAGTCTGCAAAAGACCTGAGACTGGGACGGAGATTTATCTTCCAACAGGACAATGATGCGAACATAAAACCAAATCTACAATGGAATGGTTCACAAATAGACGTATCCAGGTGTTAGAACGGCCAAGTCAAAGTCCAGACCTGAATCCAATCGAGAATCTGTGGAAAAAGCTGAAGACTGCTGTTCACAAACGCTCTCCATCCAACCTCACTGAGCTCCAGCTGTTTTGCAAGGAAGAAGGGGCAAGAATTCCAGTCTCTCGATGTGCAAAACTGATAGCGACATACCCCAAGCGACTTGCAGCTGTAATTGCAGCAAAAGGTGGCGCTACAAAGTATTAGCGCAAGGGGGCCGAATAATATTGCACGCCCCACTTTTCAGTTTTTTATTTGTTAAAAAAGTTTAAATTATCCAATAAATGTCGTTCCACTTCACGATTGTGTCCCACTTGTTGTTGATTCTTGACAAAAAATAAAATTTTTATATCTTTATGTTTGAAGCCTGAAATGTGGCGAAAGGTTCAAGGAGGGTGAATACTTTCGCAAGAAACTGTACATATATATACAAATACACACACACACACACATATATATATTCATATTTATTATATGACTTGGACCGTGCGCACGCTCTGATTGGCTGATTTACCGGTCTGATATTTTCCCATCTCGGACCGTTACCATGACAATTGGTCCGAACAGCGCGTATCACATTTGATATCTTTCCTCGGACCGTTATCATGACAATCTGTCCGCAGCGTGTATCACACAAAACCAAGTCGGACATAAACATACTTCACAAATATCTCAAAATCATTGATAAAGACACCGACGAGAGTCATATAATAAAACATTTATTAACCTCGCTTGCTCGGTCTGTACAGAGAAATATCAGCCCTTGGCCTTTTTGCACAGACCTCGCCACGGCTCGGTCTGTACATTAAGGCCGCGGTCTGATATTTCTCCATACAGACCTCGCGCTCGGTTAATAAGCCGTTAATATACAAATACACACATATATATTTCATTCGTAAAGTTTGTAAAGCCGTCCGAGTCGCCTGCTGTGATTTAGAGCGATATACAGACAAATAGAGTTTAATTGAAAATTTCTGTTAAGACTAACCCCAAGTGAACAGTTAAAGTGAAGCAGTCTGAGGGGCTGTTTCCACTGAGACGCTGCGATGACCTCAGCACTTCCCGCACGTACATTTGGACCCAGTAGAACCTAAACAACAATGGCGGCAGGTTGACTAATGCTACGTGTGCTTCGTATTCCAAATCACAGCTGTTTCACTTTCCATTTTCACTGCTGTTGTTAAAGAATGATGTTGGTTCATTCCCGTCTTTGGCCTGAGGAGGATGTTGTTGAGGAAGCGCTTCTACTGCTGGGGGTCGCATGTGTCGTGTTGTTCCACTGCCCCCTACTGGCCGCAAGCTACAACTACGTTGTTTTCCATCGTCATCTAAACGCTGTGCATCTGAACTCGAAGCCTGGTCGTTTTTGCAAATTGCTTTGCAGCGTCTCCACAGCGTCTCCGTCTAAACGGGGCCTGAATGTGTTGTGTGTGTTTAGCCGACAGCCCCAAGCTTCCGGAGCCGTTGGGAGGAGCAGGAGGAGCAGAAGGAGGAGCAGAAGAGGAGGAGCATCAGCAGGAGCAGGACTTCCACCGCAGTGACCCTCAGATCGCCATCTGTCTGGACTGTCTGCACAACGCAGGACAGAACTGGGACGACTCGTCGGTCACGGTGCGCACGCATACACACACCCACACAAGTACACACACACACACACACACACATACGTACACGCACACACACACACACGCACAGAGTACAGGTCAGTATCATGGTCAAAGGAGACACACATGAAGTGGAGGTTTCATAGCTTTTACTTGTCATTATGGTTTGAATCTATTCCATGATTGGACCATGGACCGCAGGCTGAGACTCAGTCCATGGACCGCAGGCTGAGACTCAGTCCATGGACCGCAGGCTGAGACTCAGTCCAAGGAACGCAGGCTGAGACTCAGTCCATGGACCGCAGGCTGAGACTCAGTCCATGGACCGCAGGCTGAGACTCAGTCCAAGGAACGCAGGCTGAGACTCAGTCCAAGGACCGCAGGCTGAGACTCAGTCCAAGGACCGCAGGCTGAGACTCAGTCCAAGGACCGCAGGCTGAGACTCTGTCCAAGGACCGCAGGCTGAGACTCAGTCCAAGGAACGCAGGCTGAGACTCAGTCCAAGGCACGCAGGCTGAGACTCAGTCCAAGGACCGCAGGCTGAGACTCAGTCCAAGGAACGCAGGCTGAGACTCAGTGCCAAGAACCGCAGGCTGAGACTCAGTCCAAGGACCGCAGGCTGAGACTCAGTCCAAGGAACGCAGGCTGAGACTCAGTCCAAGGACCGCAGGCTGAGACTCAGTCCAAGGACCGCAGGCTGAGACTCAGTCCAAGAACCGCAGGCTGAGACTCTGTCCAAGGACCGCAGGCTGAGACTCAGTCCAAGGACCGCAGGCTGAGACTCAGTCCAAGGAACGCAGGCTGAGACTCAGTCCAAGGAACGCAGGCTGAGACTCAGTCCAAGGACCGCAGAACACACAGGGGTCAGAGGTCAGGGCTACAGGGCACACAGGGGTCAGAGGTCAGGGCTACAGCTCTGGTCACACAAACATTAAAAAAATCTTTGAACTGCTCAGAGCACTGTCCTATCATCTGGGAAAAGTATGGCACAACTGCAAATCTACCAAGACTTGGCTGTTTGTCCAAACAAGGACAGATATAAAATTGATCATACTAAAAAATCTAACAACAGTAATAATGAGCAACAGCCCTTCAGGTCACAGCAGCAGAGGTGGAGCAGCCTCTGGGTGGAGCAGGACGAGTCACAGCAGCAGAGATGGAGCAGCCCCCGGGTGCAGATGCAGACAAGAGGCCAATGGTCGCTCTGGAGGGGCTGCTCCTGGGGGACACATGTGATCCTGTGTCCTCTTTGTTCATGGGGCAAATGTTGCAGTTAGCTCTAAACTCTGAGGGTGATGTTAGCACTGGGTTTGTCCTATGCCTGTCCCTGTGCTCAGTCCTTGTGCTCATTCCCTGTGCTCAGTCCCTGTGCTCAGTCCCTGTGCTCAGTCCCTGTCTTCTCCTCCTCAGGACCTGATGAAGAGGTTCATCCGTTGCTCCAGCAGAGTCACTGTGGGAACCATCAAGAAGTTTCTGAGTCTCAAACTGCAGCTGCCCAGCTCCAAAGAGGTCAGTCAGGGGTCACAGGTCAGTGAGGCGTCAGAGGTCAGGGGTAATGAAAGCTCATATTGACAGAAAATGTGCCAAGTTCCGAATGTCAGTAGTTTATGTAAAAAGAAACTGCATCTAAATGATGAAACCTTGAGTCTGAAACTTTGGAACGCTGTTACCAACAAAGAAAGGGTTTGAATATTGTGAGATTATAATGAAGAATACTTTTGTTAGGATTTTAAAACAGCTTTTGTTCGAAATATACATATTTAGCAGCGTGGGCGAGTTTATGCTCCAAAAGTTCCATGAGCGCTGACATGTTGCAATCTCACTTCCTCGGTGGGGTGCACCCAGAAAGAAGAATTACCCAATGCTTTAGAATGACGTCTACTTTTCTCTAGAAAACGGCTTTACAGGATGGTTCCAAAGTGGCTCTTTGTCCAAAAGTGGCTCTTGGCTCTTTTGTTGGACCAGTTTAGTTTAGTTGTTGTGGACTTCAGAATGCACTCGGTAAATGAATGGGGCTCGTGCAGCTATTGCACCTGTAAATGTGTTTTTTCAATACACTGTAAAAATTAACGGATAGAGTCACGCCCATCTCCGCCGTTCTAATTAAAGGGCCAAAAATAGTGCTCTACTGGAGCTATCCAAAATGGCCGCGAGTGGTCCCGCCCACAAGAAAATTGTGAAAAAACGCATCTGAGCATGCGTCAGCCGGCACGAGCTCCATTCATTTGAACAAGTGACTTAAAAAATTCACAGCGAGTAAACTAGACTGGTCCAAAACACCCCCCTCAGCATTGACATGTGGAACGGAGCTTTGGGCCAAGAGCCAACTTTTGGTCCATCCTGTAAAGACGTTTTCAAGAGCTAAGAAGATGCTATATGTTAGCATTGGCTAATTCTTATTCCGGGTCCACCCCCATCGGCCCGGGGTGGTATTGCAGCATGTCAGCGCCATAGACGTCGGAACTAGGGGTGTGGGGGGTGCGGCCGCACCCCCTCCGCGTGTGCCGGGAGCGAGAAGTTATCACTATCCTGCGTTCCTTGCAGCCCAAAACCCGCTCCATGCTGTCGGAGAAGCTTATGAAGCTCTGTCTGGCTAATATCTGTCGCAGCCTCTGAGCGCTCTTTCTCAGCCTTGCACAGATTAGAGACCTGGCTACACCAGTGACGTGCGGTGGGGGATCAATCATGTGTTCATATGATTATACATCATATAAACCAACAGGAACAGGAGCGGCTTATACACAATTTGTTTGGCTACAGCAGAATATGATTTAATGTCTGCATTGTTTTCTCATACAAAACGCAAACGTTTGTAAAAAGTAAAAAGTGTGTTATGGGCCTTACCTTAGGTATTAATGAACAGCACAGACCACTTCAGTTAGGACCAGTTTCATGTTTAAGTCCAGATAATAGTTTGAGCACAGACATGTAATCCTCCATTTGGAAATAAATTCAATGAGTTTTAAAAAGTAAAAAAAACGGGTGTCTCCTCCGTAAACTCCGAGTTTTGCTGCAGCCGACTCCCGGTTAAATCCAATTTCTAAATTCAACCTTACCCTTCACCTCCTTTTCTTATGATTCATATCATCATTGGAAGCAAAACATTACTCTAAGTGCATTTTAAATTATCTTAAAATGTATTATAGGTATGTTAGCCAAACCTGTAGCTGCCCTTAGCAGAAGAAGAACAAGAAAGGAGCTTTCTGATGGAATTGGATGCAGCCAAAGTTTGGGCTCACAAGCGCCCCCTTGAGGCTTTCCTCACTTACAAGCTGTGGTTGAGCGCGATTAAGACCCATATTTGCTTCAAAAACACAATTTATGAGCCATCCTCTTAAATGTAAACATGTTGATTGTAAATTAAATATTTTTGAACTTTTTAAACTGTGATAAACAGAGAAAACAGTTTGATAGCACCTCACAGGACTCTCCCTGTGAGCTGTTGCTTTTTACGTCTCCCAAGAGAGGCTCGCCTCACAGCACCGCTCTGTCAAATCTGCGATTTCAAGGTATAAATAAATGAAATAAGACACAGCACAAATCACTTGATAAAGTGACCAAACATTATTGTATCCATTTTATTACTTTTCTTTCTATGATCTTAGGTGAGGGCCTTGCCTGCCTCATCTGACCGCACGTCACTGGGCTACACAACACAATGAAGCCACCGGAGAGACTGACGCATGAATGCGTATTGAAAAAAAAAAGTTCAGTTTGATAAGTGACTTGCTTGATATATATTGTTTATTTTGTTTTTCTTAACAATTAAGATGGTATGTTATTATCCAGTGTAATCCAAGTATGAGTCTCTCCCTCGACTCTCCCAACAAAAACCCGCCCCCCCTCTCAGAAAATAGTTCCGACGTCCATGGTCAGCGCACGTCATTTTGGCCCCTTTTGAGCTGGGACCCGCCCTCACTGGTTTTGTCACATTTGCCAGCACCGCGGCCATTTTGAGAAATTCCACAGAAGCCAAAAGTGATTAGTAGTGACACATTGGTTTCAACAACAGAGATAGGCGTGACTGCATCCAACGTCCATTCATATTTACAGTCTATGATATCTACATCAACTCTAAGACTCTAGCTTTAAAAGTATGCATCCCACAAACATGTGACGTGTAAGATGGGTTTCCATTTGCAAAGACATTTGGGTACATGCAAAGTGAGGCGAGGTCAATAACACACGGAGCCATTGGTCCAGAAGTCCTAATGTAACAGTGCTACTGTAGTTACTGCGTGTGTGTGTGTGTGTGCGTGTTTGTATCTGTGTGTACAGTTGGACGTGTTGTGTAACGGTGAGATCATGGGTCGAGATCACACTCTGGAGTTCATCTACATGACGCGCTGGAGGCTGAAGGGAGACAACGTGAGTCTGTCCTACTCTGGGACACAGAGGACACAGAGACACAGAGACAGAGGACACAGAGACAGAGGACACAGACACAGAGACAGAGGACACAGACAGAGGACACAGAGACAGAGACAGAAGACACAGAGGCAGAGGACACAGAGACAAAGGACACAGAGACAGAGGACACAGAGACAGAGGACACACACACAGAGACAGAGGACACAGACAGAGGACACAGAGACAGAGACAGAAGACACAGAGGCAGAGGACACAGAGACAAAGGACACAGAGACAGAGGACACAGAGACAGAGGACACAGACACAGAGACAGAGGACACAGACAGAGGACACAGAGACAGAGACAGAAGACACAGAGGCAGAGGACACAGAGACAAAGGACACAGAGACAGAGGACACAGACACAGAGACAGAGGACACAGACAGAGGACACAGAGACAGAGACAGAAGACAGAGAGGCAGAGGACACAGAGACAAAGGACACAGAGACAGAGGACACAGAGACAGAGGACACAGACACAGAGACAGAGACAGAAGACACAGAGGCAGAGGACACAGAGACAGAGGACACAGAGACAGAGGACACAGAGACAGAGAGGACATGAAGACAGAGGACACAGAGAGAACCCCTGAAACCTCTTCTTCTCTTCTCTGTGCAGACGTACCCCATGGTCCTCGAGTACAGGCCCCGGATCGACTTCGGTTGAGGGGCCCTAGACCCCATACCCTGTGGGCCCCATACCCTGAGGGCCTCATCCCTTGTGGGCCCTAGACCCCAGACCCGGACGCTGCCCCCGATCCAAGCACTTGTTACTTTTGCACACGCCTCGTGCGCAGACAGAGATTTCATGTATTTTTGTACAGCTAACAGCTAACGGCTAACACATGTTATGTGTTTTACATAGAATAATATATATGCTGTAATGAGACACATATTTTTACTGTTCTGTCCTTATGCCTAAACCATGAAGTCTGAGCATACGCCTGTCTCACTCCTGTAGAGTAAATGTGATTTTATATTGTTGAGACGTGTGCGCGTCACTTTATTATTGTGTTGAGACTGTTCTGGTCATCTACCATGACCAGTGGGAGGTATAGACTGTATACAGATGGACAATGCTAACCACCGAGCTCAATGAAGCCCAAAGGGAAGTGCTCATGGATGAAGTTTTTCTCTGTGTTGATCTGTGTTTACAATTTGATACTTTCTTTGTAAATCCAGATTTGAGACATGTTAGAATTGACTAATCAGATCCGTTTTGCATTTGGAGACCAAACTAGTACCCGTACAGAGAACCTAACACATTCCAGTCATCTCCCACTCCATAAATGTCTGCAAATATTTCTGTCTATTTAATACCTGCAGATTTTGGGTTGTTATCAAATAGTTGCATTGATTGTGATCGAGGGGAATGACAAGATGAGGCCCGAGCTGAGAGTTATCAACTTTAATGACATTTTAGAAAAAATCTACTCAAAGTTAATGGCTTCTTCTGGCGTCATCTTTTGGACCAGTGTGGATTGGACACAGACTGTATGTGTGTCTGTGTCTGTGTGTCTATGTCTGTCTGTGTGCTTGTGTGTCTTTGTGTGTGTGTCTGGACAGGACACAACCAGACACAGAAGTACATCGATTTTACTGAAAGAATGATGAACTAATGTGCAGTTTTTGTTTTTTCTTTGTCAATTAATCCAATTTATTTGTGTATCGCCCTAAATCACAACAGCAGTTTACCTCAGAGACTTGAAACCTTGAAATCACCAACACAGATCAGAGAATCAAACAGTTCCAACACAGGAAATGCATTGATACCAAATAAGGAAGGATGCAGCATGTGGTCTGCTGTCCTGTTCACACTGTACAACACCTCCCTCTTGTGGTGAAATCATGAAACACTCATATGGGGAAAAACTTGCAGTGAGAGCCATATCCCGTCAGACCTCTGAAGCTATGCAGGACAAGGCCTGGTTAGTGCTGTGATGGGAGACCTGTGGGAACACCAGGTGCCACAGTGGGGCGGTTGTGTGTGTGTTTACATTCTCAAAGGTATTTAGGATGATTTTGTACTTCAGGAAGGATCATCGAGTCTATTGGTCCTCCAAGTTGTCAATCATTCTAGTGACACATCCTCGTCCAATAAGACCAGAGAGTTTTGTTCTAAAAGTGAAGAGAGCGGGTTTTTCCTAAAATGTGTAAAAATCCTCCTTTGAGCCTTTAGGTGGATGTTTGCATCAGTGATGAACGATGTTGATGTGAGTCTGATGTACAATAATGTGAACAGGATCATGGCAATAAAACATGTGAGCAGCTGTGATGCTACTGAACTTAGAAGCACAGCTAACTGTGAACATACCTAGAACATGCCATAGAAGCTCATTATCATTGAAAGTCTCTTCAGGGACACGCCCCTCTGTTTGGAACACTACTCCTTAAAGGTACAGTGTGTTCAAATCAACAGCTCAGCAGAAAGTTCTACTTTCACAATACTACAGCAGTACTACTACTATAGTACTACTATAGTACTACTGCAGCAGTACTACTACTATAGTACTACTACAGCAGTACTACTACAGCAGTACTACTACTATAGTACTACTACAGCAGTACAACTACTATAGTACTACTATTATAGTACTGCTACAGCAGTACTACTACAGCAGTACAACTACTATAGTACTACTACAGCAGTACAACTACTATAGTACTACTACAGCAGTACTACTACAGCAGTACTACTACAGCAGTACAACAGCAGTACTACTACAGCAGTACTACTACAGCAGTACTACAGTACTACACTACAGCAGTACTCAGTGGCGGGCCGTACATTTCAGACCTGCGCCTGCACTGATGTCCTAACCCAGCCATCTCTTCTCTATCTTTTGAATGCGCTGCAAAACGGCTGCAAGTAGCTCTGAAACAGTTGTTGTTTTGTGCTTTACATTTGTTATTTTTCTTGCTTTTTTCTGCCTGAGATGTTGCTGCAGTTCAGTGTTCATGGTTTTGCACTGGTCCAGACCAGAGCAGAGAGGATTCATGGTCCAAACCAAGAGGATCAGGTGAAAATCCACTGGAGAAAGGCTAACTTTTTAATAAATGCTAATGAAGCATTTAGCATTTTACTTTGGTCTAGAGCAGAGAAAATGGTCCGAACCAAGCGGCTACTCCACCTCTGCTGCTGTGACCCGTCCTGCTCCACCCAGAGGCTACTCCACCTCTGCTGCTGTGACCTGTCCTGCTCCACCCAGAGGCTACTCCACCTCTGCTGCTGTGACCCGTCCTGCTCCACCCAGAGGCTACTCCACCTCTGCTGCTGTGACCCGTCCTGCTCCACCCAGAGGCTACTCCACCGTTGCTGCTGTGACCCGTCCTGCTCCACCCAGAGGCTACTCCACCTCTGCTGCTGTGACCCGTCCTGCTCCACCCAGAGGCTACTCCACCTCTGCTGCTGTGACCCGTCCTGCTCCACCCAGCGGCTACACCACCTCTGCTGCTATGACCCGTCCTGCTCCACCCAGCGGCTACTCCACCTCTGCTGCTGTGACCCGTCCTGCTCCACCCAGAGGCTACTCCACCTCTGCTGCTGTGACCCGTCCTGCTCCACCCAGAGGCTACTCCACCTCTGCTGCTATGACCCGTCCTGCTCCACCCAGAGGCTACTCCACCTCTGCTGCTGTGACCTGAAGTGCTGTTGCTGATAATTACTATTGTTAGCTTTTAAGAATTATCAATTTTGTTATTATTATTTTTGCAATAAAGTATCTATCTTTTCAGTGCCACAGACGCCCCAGCCTACAGCAGTGTGCCTCCTGTGTTCAAACGACAGGAGGCATATCGCTGTAGTTTGTACAGACACACGTGCATGTGCAGCAGGAGGGTTCAGGACCCAGTTTTCAGCATTAAAGGAGCAGTATGTAAAAATCTTGTCAAAATGGTACTGCAGCCTCTCCCACTCTCCCTGACTCAGGTTGCCAGATATGCAGACAAATCCAGCTGGGACCACAACAGCTGAGTAGACAAGAAGAACACCTTTTTCACAAATGTTGCCACAACATTTGTTTTGGCAAAAAATATTATTATGTTGGTTTTCTTTGGTATTAGACAAAACTAAAGAAAATACCCCTGTTTGCACGTACAAAGTGAGATTGGAAAATTTGAATCGGTTGTTTAAGATCAAGTTTAATTATTTATAGTACATTTTAAAAACAGACATGACTTTCACAAAGTGCTTACCAGACATTACAAAATATGACGCACAAAATACAGCATAAAAAATACAGGTCACTGTCATAAAAGTTTCACCATGGCTTGAGTTAAAGGGTTAGCTCTCTACAGAGGGTTAGCTCTCTACAGAGTAAGTAAGTAATCTTTATTTATATACCGCCTTTTCACTGCACATCGGAGTCTCAAAGCGGTTTACAATTGTTATTTTTGGGAGTGGGGGTCCCAGTACAGGAAGCGCATGCCAGACCTATTGTACATATTTTTAGTGGTAGGGGAAACCGGAGCACCCGGAGGAAACCTACGCAGACACAGGGAGAACATGCAAACTCCACTCAGAAAGGCCCTGGTCCAACCGGGATTCGAACCCAGGACCGTCTTGCTGAGAGGCGAGAGTGCTATCCACTCAGCCACCGTGCCGCCCAGTACAGAGGGTTAGCTCTCTACAGGGGGTTAGCTCTCTACACAGGCTTAGCTCTCTACACAGGATTAGCTCTCTACAGGGGGTTAGCTCTCTACACAGGCTTAGCTCTCTACACAGGATTAGCTCTCTACAGAGGGTTAGCTCTCTACACAGGGATAGCTCTCTACACAGGGATAGCTCTCTACAGAGGGTTAGCTCTCTACACAGGGATAGCTCTCTACAGAGGGTTAGCTCTCTACACAGGGTTAGCGCTCTACACAGGGTTAGCGCTCTACAGGGGGTTAGCTCTCTACACAGGATTAGCTCTCTACAGAGGGTTAGCTCTCTACACAGGCTTAGCTCTCTACACAGGGTTAGCTCTCTATAGAGGCAGCTCTGATACAATAAGGGAGAGTGTTTGGGCCCTGCCACAGCAAAGGCTCGGTCTGCTCTGGTCTTCAGTCTAGACCTGGGACAGTGTAAAAGAAGTCGGTCGGAGGACCAACTTCTTTTGGTTTAACTTTTGGGTAAACTGTGAGTGTAAAACATGTCATTATAGCATTAGCACGCCCTACAGACTGAGTCAAGTTTGCTTCTGTTTGCTTTCTTTCATTTGGCGGATGGCCTTGTCTTTCAGCTTCATCTTCATCTTCTTCTTCAGCTCTTGGATGGTGTGATCTGAGGTCCTCTTGGCCTCCTTCACAGCCTCTTCCACCTCCAGAGCATTGACTCCTCTGTTGCTTCTCTCTCTTCAGATTCTCTACCAGACGCTGGTGTTGTTCCTCCAACACCATGAGGTGGTATTCAAGCCTTTTTCAAGCGTTAAAACCTTGGTCCGGCTCCTCCTAAAGTCACTACGCTGCCGAACGGAACGTTTCAAGAGATCCTTTGTTCCTTCGGCTGTCAGACTGTACAACAAACCTGGATGAGTCTCCTGCTGCTGGACACCTGAATTTCTCCTACGGGGATCAATAAGTATTTATCTATCTAAACAATGTTAATTTTTCAAGACTCGATCATGATCCTTGTCCTTACTTAAAATAAAATGTGCAGTGGACGAGCTCTCATGATGCATTGCGCTA